CGTTTTTCTATTTTTAAGGAGTGCTTTGCTTATTTGTGGCTTCTTTTCCATTCCAAATGAAGCTGGAGATTGCCTTTTCCATCTCGTTGAAGAATGGAATTGGTATTTGTATTGGGATTGCATTGAACGTGTATATTGCCTTTGGTAGTATTGCCATTTTCACAACATTGACAGGACAGCTTCTTAGGCATACACACAGGCCCTCTGACCTTCATCTTCGAGGCTTTGGGCCAGTGTTGCACAGCTTTTTTAAGTCCTGCCAGTTATAGCATCTTCCAGCAGTCCTTCAATATGCTTGGGCGAAGACCCTGAGCTCTGGTTCTGTGGGGCAGCAATTCTAGTTCAACACTGTCCTAAACCAGAATCTAGTTCTCCACCACCTCTGCAGCTGTTGCTTTGTTTCAGTCTCAGTCTGTCTCCTTCAGGAATCTCTGGCCCAGATGGATATTGTGCATTCTCCATTTTGGGCTTTGTGTCCCTGATGTTAGTGAGAATCCAAATTTTTGCCTTTGCTCAATTTAAATCTGCAAGGTTGGCCTAACTAGCTCCCCTCATTAGCAGTTTCTTACTCATTGCTGTCTGTTTTCGGCCAGAGGAAAAGACAGAGACTGGGGACACACAGGAATGGGGGTCATGCCGGAAAGTGTGAAGGCCGAGGGCTAACAGCTGGGAGAACTATATTCCCTATGCTGTGCCTTTCTGGGTTTTATTGAGAATTATCAGGAAGGTAAATAAAGGAAAATCACAAGGGAGTAATAAATAAAAACAAAGGATCATGGGGAAGTCTTTTGTAAATAAGGCAGAATTCTTCTCTATTGTTTACCTTATGCTTATCTCTGAACAAAGGGATTCAGTAAGTACAAACTAAGAATTAAGTAGACTCTTAAGGATTGCCTTAATGCCTACCCCTATAAACATTTAAGGATTGCCTTAATGCTACAGGGTGATTTCCAGATTGTATCAGCCTCCCTCCTATCCTGACATAGCATTTGGTTTGTTATTATTAAATTTGATATTCGACTTCCCATATCTGTCTACTTGGAACTGACTTGTAGTTTGCTCTCAATAGGTTGCTGAGGCTGTAAATCCCATGGCAGGAGATTGCCCATCTTTCTCCCTCAGAGCAGCTTAACCAGAGAGGTTTAGCCTTTTTATTAGCTGTGTAACTCCCTATGGACAACTGCCAGAGCGTCCTAATAGTAGCCTACAAACTTTTTTGCATTTTCCCACCCAGAAAGTGCTGTTTACTTCAGTGACAGTATTGGTATAGTCCTGTCTAGCCATTTGGTGAAAGTCAAAGTCAGTGGCTACTAAGAAAAATCTAGCGCACCACAGGGGTTAAATGTGAGTTTTTGTGGTGCTATTTATGCTAGTTCACAAACATAGGTAACCCCGTTTTTAAGCTTGCAGGGTTTGTTTTAGTATTGTGCTTTCATTCTTGCTTTGAGATTCCTTTTCTGTCCTTTTAAAGAAACGAGGGTAATGATTGCCATTGTTTTGAATGAAAAAGTATTCCCAGGATACTAGATTACTTATGTTGAATTCACAGGTCAATGACCGGCGGATTGTAGACGGGATATTTGCTGCCTGTGGTGTTCCTGAAAGCAAGTTCCGAACTATCTGCTCCTCAATAGATAAACTAGACAAGGTAAAAGAGAAGACACGCTTCAGAAGACTCCATTTAAGTTTTTGTCCTGCCCTCAAATTTCCATTTCTAGAGAAAAATAAGGAGATAGTGGTTGAATAGAAATATTTTTGAGTAGAGGGTAAAAGTGACACCTGAAGCAAGTCTTGAGTTCTGTATAGTGGAAACTGTGGCTCAATTTCGTAAGTAACCTCTGACTTGGCTGAGTATAGTAGCTTGACATATACTGAATGAAAGCAAGATCTCCTTTTCCTGTTAGAGAAAGAAGAGTCTTCAGACTGGGATAAAACCCAGTATTTACTTTGGATATTTATGCAGATGTCTTGGGAACATGTGAGACTTGAGATGGTGACAGAAAAGAGCCTGGCACCTGATGTAGCTGATAGAATTGGAGATTACGTCCAACTTCATGGTAAGAACTAGGATTTTCAGAGCTATATGATAAAACCAGGATGAAGGTGAAATGTATACAACTTCTGCCTTTGTAATTGCCCCTTTGTAGAGGTGATGCTAGAGTCCAAAGCCTTTTCTGAGGCTAATTCCGCTTTAGTATACTACTATAACCACTTTGTATTTTCAGGTGCAAAGGTAGAAGAAGCAGAGGAGGAGTGCTTGATCATTTGATTTTTTTTTTTTTTTACAAAAATGAGAACAAGCTGGAGCAATTAGAGAAAAAAATTAGAGGGAAGCATGGATGAAAAGAATAGAACTTATTTTTATTCCCTTACGAAACTAGGTGGGTTGTCCCTGCTAGATCAGCTGTTCCAAGACCCCAGATTAACTCAGAACAAGCAAGTGCTAGAGGGCCTGGGGGACCTGAAGCTGCTCTTTGAATATCTGACTCTCTTTGGAATTTCTGAGAAGGTAAGATGAGTTGAGAGTGGCCTTTCTGCTGAGATTTAGGTTCTCAAGGTCCTAAGTCTTGCTGGGATTTGACTATAGCCTTGTCCTCACAGATCTCCTTTGATCTAAGCCTAGCCCGGGGCCTTGACTACTACACAGGAGTTATCTATGAAGCAGTGCTGCTACAAAGCCCAGATCAGGCTGCAGAGAAGCCCCTGAGCTTAGGCACTGTGGCTGCTGGTGGGCGCTATGATGACCTGGTGGGCATGTTTGACCCCAAGGGCCACAAGGTGCCATGTGTGGGACTCAGCATTGGAGTGGAACGGATCTTCTCTATTGTGGAGCAAAGAATGAAGGTGGGTCTTAGGTATGGATAATGGGACCAGAGGCTGAAAAATCCTCATGTTTTGGAGGTACAGTTAAGTTACTTTCCTGACAAGTCTTTCCATCTTTGGGAATTACTGTGCAAAAATGTTTTTGTTAGTTTTACTATCTTCTCTTTTATTAGGCTTTCGGTGAGACGGTACGGACCACTGAGACCCAAGTATTTGTAGCCACACCACAGAAGAACTTTCTCCAAGAACGATTGAAGCTAATTGCAGAGCTCTGGGATGCTGGGATCAAGGTGTGGGAGAGCTGATAGCTGAGTTACTTAGATATGTGTAGAATTCAATCCCTGTCTCATTTCTACCTTAATGTTTAGGTTGAACTAAAAATCTGTTCAGATCCTCACTGGAGTGACTCAGGATAAGAGGGCCAGCCACCTATTTCTGACTTCCTTGGAGATAACTGTTCTTAGGATTTGTGTGGGGACCTCTGTAGGCCTAGATTCAAGAAACTGCACTGCAATCCTGAAGGCATGTGGTTTGAAGCCACCAGCCGCTCTGCAGGAGAAAGATGAGATGAGCAGTCCCCTGGATGATTAACGGCCTCTGAAAACCTGCCAGAGTGTCAGCTATGGGTTGGTTTTGGTCTATAGCAACAACTGGATTTATGTGCTTTGGCCACTTCTAAGCTCCATACTCCATCTTTCTCAGGCTGAACTGCTGTACAAGAACAACCCCAAACTATTAACCCAGTTGCACTACTGTGAAGACATGGGCATTCCATTGATGGTCATTATTGGTGAGCAAGAAATGAAAGATGGAGTCATCACACTTCGTTCAGTGGCCAGCAGAAAGGAGGTAAGTCGGGAGCAGGCAAACATAGAAGGAATCAAGTGTTTCTACCTTTCTCGGGTTCTTTTTTTTTTTTCTCCCCAAATCAAATATTGTTTATTAATTAATTATTTGCCAACACAATCTGCCATTAAGATACAACTTTCTCGAGTTCTTTAAGGAATAGATTTCTTCTACCTGGAGAAATAATCATCTGAGTTGATAATGATAGAGATAAATGAAGATTCTAAAAAACATTGCAGCCAGTAAATACTGGCTGAATAGGCAGAAGAAGGTATGGAATCTGAATGGGTGCTTTTAGACTAAGACATGAATTAGTTTTTGAATTTGAATTCTTTACTCTTGGGGGCATATATTCTTCAGGTAAACCTGCAGCACAAAATCCCTCATACTATTTACTTAATTAGTGGGAGCAGTTGTAGACTAAAATGAATGTGGAAAAGTGGCTAAGGAGCTGGTGCCACATTTGTGTTTGTCACATGCAGGTTTTTTTCTTTCAGGTGGCCATTAAAAGACAATATCTTGTGGCTGAAATTCAGAAGCAACTCTCTGATTCTTGATCCTTGCCTGACTGCCGTCTTCTGCTCTTTGTAGAAAGGTTTCATCTAGGACTGAGTTCTTAGTGGATATCACAGCTGCTGCCCAAGATGTATGACAAGTGCCTGCTGCCTTTGCCAGCCTTCCCTGGTACAGAATTCTAGAAAGCCCTAAGGATTCTTGGGTCCACTGGCCTCAAGTGTGAGCAGCTATTCGGCAGGGGAGCAGATGGTGCATTAGAAGAGCCATTGAATGCTACCAAGAGATGCTGAGACGGTTTCTGTGGGCAGAGCTTGGAGACCATCACTACAAGCTGAGAGGATTTGGAATGATTGAGATTAGAACCCAGCCATTTCCTTTCTACTGCCGCTAATGAAGCTAAGACTCATGAGTTTGTCCAGCCGGTCCTTCCAGGGAGTTTTTGGTGACAGCAAGAACAGGCATTGGTTGCTTTCTGCCAATATATGAAGATAAGATACTACACCATTGAATATGAGATGGTGTCCAGATTGATGTGGTATCTCTAACACATGCTTAACAAAAGGCCAGGACTGTGTTTTTAATGGTCCTGAAAGTCAACGAGATTAAAATTTGATCTCTGGTATTTTATTTACTTGCTTAGTCACTGTTCTGATTATTCTGTGTGCTGTCATAGAAGTGAGTGTTTTATAAATGGCTGGATATGTTAAATAAAATATTAAATGGAGTAGTTTGAGACATTTACTACCAGGGGAATAGATCATAGAAAATGCTTAAGTGTATACTGGAAAGCAAGGATGAAACTCCTTGGGATAATAATTATGTGTTTGTTCTGTGAAGAGAACAGCTACAGTCTGTCATATTGCTTAAAACTAACAAACATACCAACCAAAGAATCATCTGCTAAATGCTTCACCATAGTGAAACATGTTGTTAATTGCCTTGAGTCGACTGTGACTCATAGTAACCTTATGAACAACAGCTCTGAGACTTGCCCTAACCTGAGCCAGCATCACTGTCTCAGACACATCTGACCCCATTGCTGTTGTCACTGTGTTAATCCATCTTATCCACCATCTTCCTCTCCTGTCTTGATACTCTGACCCTTCAAGCATGATGTCCTTCTCTAAGATCTGTCCCCTCCTGGCAACATGCCCAAGGTATCTGAGCCAGAGCTTCAAAATACTTGCCTCCAAGGAGCAACCTGGTTTTATCCTCTCCAGGATGTATTTGTTTGTTCTCTTTGCAGTCTATGGTATGTTCAGTACTCTTCTGTAACACCGTCTCAAAGGAATTGATTCTTCTATCATCTTTATTCATTATCCAGTTCTCAGATGCATAGTAAGCAATTGAGAAGACCATGGCCTGGATCAGGTACACCTTAGTTTCTAACTGTTCATGTTGACTAAATTTCCTAAGTCCAATTATGTTTAAATTGTACCCCATAGATTAAATGACTAATGTACCCCAGTTCAAGGAAAAGTGTTAGTCAAAGGGTGATAGCATTGTTTCAAGAAAAAGGGACAAAGATGCAAAAAGTACTTTGTATACCTTTTTGGTTATTGCAAATACTTAAGCTAACTTCTGGCCATGTAACTAGTGCATTCAGGTGAATCAGGCATCTCAAGTTCCTAATAGTACTGTAGCCCATGAGATGCTCTAGAAATTAATAACAATGTATGTGAAATTGATTAGGCTTGATTAGATGGCACTGTTTCTGAACCTCAGGTTTCCTCATTTATAAATCTAAGAGTTGAACACAATCAGCTGTCTTTTTAAAAACTTTTATTTATTTAATTGAGATTTTAATGGAAACTTATAAAGAACTTGGATTTCCATTCATTCATTGTTACACATTTTCCTCCCTGCCCCACACCAGTTCGCTTTTTTCTTGGGGAAAAAAGTTCTTTCGTTGTTATACATTTCTCCGCAACCCTAGACCACTTTACTTTATTCTGGACTCTTGTCATTCCAGTAATAACTAATATGTTCCTTTCATACAATTCTATCGCTTCTTGGCCTTTTGGCTAAGATCAAGTGCAATTATCTCCCTCGTCTGTTTCAATGCCGCGTACATTATTTATCGCCTCTTTTCTTAGTTTCTCCCAACCCCCATGTCAGTTCTCTTTTATAACATTGGCATTATGCCGTATTTGTCTTTGTGACAGATAGTTCACTCATCATCATGTCCTCCATTGTCACCCATTTTGTATTTCATGAGCTCCTTGTTTTTCAATGCTGTATAATATTTCATTGTGTGAATATACCACAGCTTTTCTAACCATTCGTTTGTTGATGGGCACTTGAGTTGTTTCCAGATCTTTGCTATTGTGAACAAAGCAGCAATAAACATAGGTGTGCAATCAGCTATCTTACGAATGTTTTGAAAGCCCGGACCAAAAAAAAAAGTTTGCGGGTGCCCTTACTTCCGTGTAACTTCGCGTTTCCCCTTGCGCTTGCGCCATCTCCTTGGAGCAGAGGCGGGGCTAACAGGCCTATTTTAGAAGCCTTCCAGTCCTTAGCTCTCTTAGAAAGCGACGCTCTAACCTTGTTGGAAGAGTAGTTTGCCTTACGGCTGAGGGCCACTTTTTACGACATTTCCCGGCAATGTTTTGAAAGCCCGGACCAAAAAAAGTTTGCCGTGCCCTTACTTCCGTGTAACTTCGCGTTTCCTCTTGCGCTTGCGCCATCTCCTTGGAGCAGAGGCGGGGCTAACAGGCCTATTTTAGAAGCCTTCCAGTCCTTAGCTCTCTTAGAAAGCGACGCTCTAACCTTGTTGGAAGAGTAGTTTGCCTTACGGCTGAGGGCCACTTTTTACAACATTTTCCATTCACTTCGCAGTGAAGATGGCGTCGGGCAGTGGGGTAGGTGTTCTGTGTGATGGGGAGGTTTTCGGGGCTTTTCTGGGAGTAATAGATACGGGCTCCTGAAAAGGAATGTCTCCCCAACATCTCGCGATTCCAGGGTACATGAGTGAGAGCTCCCCGATCAGATTCAGGCGCAGGGTCAGTGGAACTGCGGAGATCTCGGTTAGGGTCCCGAGGCCACTTCAGCCTCTGTACGGGTCTGCAGAGGCTTGGCTCTTGATAGATTCTGGGGCTACCTTAGCAACGAGGATGCGGTTCCTGGAGTTCCTCTAGGGTTCCAGGGAGCTTAGTGACGGATCTTTTTCCGAGTGTTATTTTTTTCCCCCCTACAGACGAAAAACTTGGATTTTCGCCGAAAGTGGGACAAAGATGAATACGAAAAGCTCGCCGAAAAGAGACTTACCGAAGAGAGAGAAAAGAAGGATGGTAAGTGCCTGCTCTAGCAAATACTAAAGGCGTTAAAGACGATGAAACAAGGAGAGTGAATGAAAAGTAAAAAAAATGCGTTGTCCGTTCTGCTTTTGCCTCTAGTGGAGATTGTCTCTCTGATCTTTGGGCTCTTTATGTATAAAGTGAGGGCGAGGCGGCGGACCGGAATGGTTTTTGAAATCCTTTCTAGCTCTAATGCCGCCTGTTTCCTTACTTCTCTTGGTTTAGTTCATTCGGTGTTTTCTTAATATACAGAGTAGACAGTGAAATTCTTTGATGTGTCAGAGAAGAAACACTAAGTGTATTGCTGCTGTTTATTACTGTTTTCCCCTTCATCTTTCCCTTGAAATTACTTCAGGACGAGGAGGGCATTTCAGACTTCATAAAGGCCATCCCCAACAGTTAAGACCAGCAGGAACTATGTGTTTATTTTATCTAGTGCTTAGTAGTACTTTCTTTTGACTTTGTACTGTATCAGGGAGTTGGAGCTCCTTTTCTGTATAAAGATCTCACTCTACAAAAAGATAAATGTCTTATTGTCTTTTCTCAAATGTATACATCCTTCTCTTGTTTTATTTACATCACCTTGCACCATCATCTCATTTGTGTGCAGTGTTTGTGTGTATATATGTTGTTGTAGTTGTTATGTGCCGTCGAGTCGCTTGCGACTCATAGCGACCCTATGTACTACAGCCCTAAACTCCGCTCTGTCCTGTGCGCTCTGTCCTGTGCCAATCGCACAGTCTCTGACACTCCCATTCCAATTATCCCAGTCACCGAATCAATCCACCTCATAGAGGGCCTTCCTCTTCTGCGCTGTCCCTCCACCCTCCCAAGGACTGGTCTCTCCTCACAACATGTCCAGAGTATGTTAGACGGAGCCTCAGAATCCTTGCCTCCAAGGAGCCACCTGGTTTAACCCTTTCCAGGACAAATCTGTCTGTTTTCCTAGCAGTCCATGGTATTCTCAATACTCTTCTATATGTCTGTCTATCTGTATTTGGCCCATAGCAGGTATTTCTCAATGTTAATTCCATTCCCCATTCCATTCATGCACTCTAGAAGTTGCTTTCTGTGTTATGCCTGAGAGCATTACTGAGTATCCTTGCTTATCCTTCAAATGATTGCTTTTTGTGCAAACTCTTTCTTTCATCCCATTTAATCAGTGAACAGAAAGCATGTTACTTTTAGACTTGCTGGCTTTAAAGTTGAGAAAATCTGTATTTGCAGATTGCTTGGCCTTTATTCCTGTGTTTCTCTGTTGCTCCTGTGTTGAGTATCCACTGTGTCTCTTGCTTTAGGAATAAAAAAATGAGAGTAGAGTTCTGAAATTTGGATTTCTACATTTCTTTTCCTTTTCTAATTGAGGAATTGTGATAATTGAAAGAGTTTCTTTCCTCATTATGTTCCAGGAAAACCAGTGCAGCCTGTTAAACGGGAACTTCTGCGACACAGAGATTACAAGGTGGACCTGGAATCCAAGCTGGGGAAGACAATTGTCATTACCAAGACCACCCCACAATCTGAAATGGGAGGGTGAGTTGCTGTTTACCGTTTCTCTGCAGCCATTAGATCCAGTAAACTGTGTGCCTTGAGAAGGTTCTGAGAAAGGTCCCTGACCACAGGAGCAAAGCTTTTTTTCTTGTCCTAGCAACCTTTTTGCCTGTAATTCCATTCTTAGATTTGTTTTTCTTTTGTCTCACTAAATAGCATCTGCATATTAGCACTGTAACTGTGTCTTAATTTCTAAAACGGAATTCTTTATTTTCCTGTTGGTAAAAGAAATGAAATAAAGAGCTTCTGAAGAGATTTCTAGGTGGAAATTAGCCAGAGCTAGAATGGAAGCTAGAAGTTGTGATCGTTGTTATGAATTGCCTGGTTATGCACTTTTTTCTCTGACCAAAATTATAGGAAGAAGGATTCCACAATAGCTCTTCATACCTTTACCCACAGCTAATACTCTATCTGGTGGCTTAGTGGTAAAAAACTGTGCTCTATAATCTCAAGGTACGCATCCACCAAACTGGTATAATCCACCAGTCTGCTGAAGAAGAATGGGCAGTCCTCTCCCATGAGATTTATTACCTCTGAAAACTCTGTGTGAGTCAGTTCTGACTTAATGGCAAATAGCTACTCTATCCATTCTGTTAAATTTTCCAGCAGGATGGCAATACATACAGCAATGCCTGGCTGGCTTTGTAAACTCATTGTTGTCGTTCCTTTCTCTGTTAGTAATCTACTATAATAAATTGCTGTGAAATGGAATTTAAACAACAAATAGTTTTCAGATTTCTATGGGCAAGGAATCCAAAAGTGGTTTAGGTAGATGATTCTGACACAGAATCTCAAACGGCAATTAAGATTTTGGCTGGGATTGAAGTCATCTGTCATTTGCTTGGGACTGAAGGATCTACTTCCAAGATCCTTCATATGACTACTCATTGAAGACCTCAGTTCACTACTCTAAGCCTCTCCTTAGGGCTACTCACAACAAACCAGCTAGCTAACTTTATCAGAACAATTGAGGGAGAGGCAGATCAATGGACTAAGAACCCTGTTCTTTTCTACCTTAATTTTTTTTTTTAATTTTTATTTTATTATTTTTGTGTGAGTGTACCGTCAAATCAGATCTGACTGGTACAGGAGGAGATTGTTCCTCCTTCTCCAGCAGAGCATCTGGTGGATTCGAACCATGTGCCTCTGGGATTGTAGTTGCAGCTCCTTACCACTAGGCCACCAGAGCTCCTTCTACCTTAATTTTAAAAGTGACATTACTCTAAAACCGATTTCATTTATTGCTCTCAAGTCACAGCTGACTTGTAGCTGACCCTCCAGAGGGTTTTTAGTCTGTAAACTGCATGGGAGAAGATTGTTCATCTTTTCAAACAGCCCACCTTTGGGTTGGCAGCACAACTCCTTACCCACAAGGCCACCAGAGCTCCCGTTGAAAGTGATGTACTGTCACTTTTTTCTGCCTTCTGTTGATTTTAAGACCAACTTTGATACATTATGAGAGAGACACACAAGTTTGTGAATCCAGGAGGCAGAAACTAGGAGGTTGGCTACGATACTCTCTTACCAATAGCTAAGTCTTTGTAGAAATGAAAAATTTTCTTTTTATTCTAAAAATATTAAGCCTGTTTTACCTAAAAATAGTTTAAGTGAAAACAGATTCTTACAATCAGACTCTGCTTAAATGCTGTTCTTGCTGTTTGCCAGATATTACTGCAATGTCTGTGACTGTGTGGTGAAAGACTCCATCAACTTCCTGGATCACATTAATGGAAAGAAACGTAAGATTTGGAGGTAGTTTGGGGTTTGGATTTTGAAGATGAGGAGGTTGGGGAAGGGTAATTTCTATTCATGTCACACCCTCCACCCTACTCCAACCCTCCTTCTATTTTAGTGCTTGGGGGGAACTCTGGTTGTTTTAAAACAGACCATCTTTTCCTTTTCTGTCTGAAAACTGTGAAATAAGATCTTGTTCTGGGCGCTCAGCAAGTCTAAACCAGGCTCTTTTCCTGTGCCTAGATGGTTCTGCTGGTGCCATCTACACTGCTGTTCTGTAAGGACAGTTGAAAGCTGCCACAACTACTACTTTTTCTTGCCACCTGGGCCTGCTGCGTCTGACAGTAGATGTGACCATGGAGTTTCTGGCAGCCATAATTATTAATTATTTTTCTGTGTGTTTCAAATGAAGATGCACTTAAAAAAATAATAATAAAGACATGATTTTTTGAGGTTCTGAAGACATTGACTTTACTTTCTTCTTTGTTAACCACATCCAGATCAGCGAAACCTGGGCATGTCAATGCGTGTAGAACGTTCCACTTTGGATCAGGTGAAGAAACGCTTTGAAGTGAATAAGAAGAAAATGGAAGAAAAACAGAAGGATTATGATTTTGAGGAAAGGATGAAGGAGCTCAGAGAAGAGGTAAGACTGTATTCCCCTTCCTACTCCAAGCCTAAAATATTTGTTCTGAGCCGTAGGAGGCCCTCTTCCTAGTTTTATTCCCATCCCCAGAGGATATTTTTTTCTTTTAAATGTCTGTAAATAGGGGAAATATTTGTTACTCTTGTTTGGCACTCATATTCTGAAAGAAATGTGCCTTCAGAATGATCCTTTTTTCCTGGACCCTCTAGGCCATTTCTCCTATCTCTCTGTATTTGTTTCCCTATATTAGAAGTCTTAGTGTGTGCATAAAACACTTGGAATTGTAGTAATACACTACATGCCCCAGAATGTTAGTTGCAGTTATATGATTTTGTGCCTGTATACCTCCTAAGAACTAGAGGTAGCTCCCCTTACCCCTCCTCGGAAGAGAGGCAGATTAAAAAAAACCAAAAAACCAAACAAAAAAAATCCTAGATCTAGATGGGCTGTGGGGTAAAATTAAGAACTACTTTTACAGAAGCTAGTATTTTGTTGTTTTGTCCCTTATGATATTTTTACTGTGGCTTTTCTCTTGCGTACTTGTATCTTAACTGCTTCTAAAGATAAAGGAATCTTGGAGTTCACCTGTCTCTTTGGACAGTTGACTCAACAATATGAATTAATGCGGAGTGATTTTCCCCTCACTACAGGAGGAAAAGGCCAAAGCCTATAAGAAGGAGAAACAAAAGGAAAAGAAAAGGAAGGCTGAGGAGGACTTGACGTTTGAGGAGGATGATGAGATGGCAGCTGTGATGGGCTTCTCTGGCTTTGGTTCTACCAAGAAGAGTTACTGAGGCTTTCTGTACTTGGCCCTTTGCTGGGCCCAACTTTGTATGTGTGTATGGGGGGTGGTCACTTCTTTTTGGGAGACTTGGGAAAAGTCCTTAAAGTGGCAGTGGTGAGAGTCAAAGGGTTGTGGTTCTCTCTGCCTTAGGAGAAGACACAAGAGGTAATACTGTGGCATATTGCTTCATCTTCTCAGTATCTGTCACTGGAGTCACAGGACCTCTGCCCATCTGAATTCCCAGTAAAGAAAATCTCCCCTTCTGAGGCTGCTTTCCTAAAACTTCCTTGCATCTTTCCCTCTTCCATATACCCAACCCTTTGTCTGAGCATCCTCTGTTTATCCTGTGTTCTCCCATTGTTTTAACTTTGACTCTTGCTCAGCCTGCAGCAGAAGGATTCTGAGTCCTCCCAGTCTCCAGTTGATGGCATATCTGTGGCCCCATGCCTTCCCCATCCTGCCCTGTGGTTCCCTAACCACTTGTGCATGCATGTGTTATTTCTGCCTGGGTCAGCAGTGTGTGTGGGTGTGTGCATGAAACTGTCACATAGAAGGGGCCTGAGCTAGAACCCAGAGTATTGCTGCCCTGGGCCTCATGTTCTTGGCTTCTTCAGAGCATGTAACAGGAAATTAAATGGGATGAGTGTTTTGTGTGGTTTGTGTCTGGTGAGTTTTTTAATCTTGGTTGTTCAGATGCAGACTGTTGCAGTTTATGTTTGTTTCATTTTATTGAGTTTTGTTTTTGTCTTAATTTGTGAACAGGCTCTTTTAAGAACCTGTTTGATGCAAAAAAAAACAAACAACCTCACTATGGGAGCCTCTGGGTCTCAGGCTGTTCAACATTTATAATAAATTACATTCATTGGGCCTGTTTCACATTTGATGGGAACATTTCATATTTTCTCTTGTGTATATAGTTGTGTTTCTTCAGACTGAGGATAGTTTGAGTAGAGCTTGGTTTTCGCCATTTGAGCCCTATGTCATATTTTTAAAAATTTATTTATTTATTTATTTATTTTTGGTAGGCCCTCAGAGTTGGGAATGTAGATTCCTTCAGTCTGAATCCTATTTTCCTCTATTGTGGGATTCTTGGGGCCGTTAACAGGAATCTGAACAAAACTTTCCCAGTCATTTCAGCCTCCTTTGATACTCTGGTTTGGAAACAGTAAAAGTCATGGATGAATTGAATGTTTTTGTTACGATGTTGATTTTGGCTAGGTACAGCACTACTCAATCTTGTTCTATTGACATTTTGAACCAGATCATTCTTTGTTGTGGGGCCCTCCTATGTACTGCAAAGTGCCTACATTTCTGGTCCCTTCTCACTAAATACCAGAACACTGCTTTCAAGTTGCAACAATAAAGAAATATGTGTTCCTTGCAGGGTGTGAGGCAAAAGTCCTCCCCTGCCTTTTTTTTTTTTTAAATACATTCCTGGGGCTGGTGGTATTCAGAAAATACAGAGGAAAGAAAAAATATTAGTGCAAACATTTTATCAACTTTAAGCAGGTGAGTTTGTAAAATACAGCTTTTGCTGGGATTACTATTTGGGTTAAAAAGCTGCCAACTTATGGCGTGTTAAATATCTCACACTACTCAAATAACCTTTCCATATTATCAGATGACTTGGAGATTCCCCAAAGTATTCCCTAAGGAATTTGTAAAAAAAAATCTGGGGGAGCTCTGGTGGCCTAGTGGCAAGAAACTGCGCTGCAATCCCAGAGGAACACGGTTCGAATCCACCAGATGCTCTGCCGGAGAAGGAGGCGCAATATCCTCCTGTACCAGTCAGATCTGATTTGACGGTACATGCACACAAAATAATAAAAAAAAAAAAAAAATCTTGTTTCTGTCAGGTATGCCTTTTGCCCAATTTATTTCTAGCCTGAAGGCATTGAAGGTACTATTTGAATATGTCTTCACTTGAAGTCTGGGTCAGAATTCATATACAATATTTGTTGACAAACTGAGCATATGGTGGTAGTATTTGCTTTGGCGGGATTACATGCATGCCAGGCTCTTGAAAGTAAGAATTTACCTTAATTAACTTGATTATTTTCCTGCCTTTCCCAATCAGGCAGAGAAGACTTCAGAAATCTTGTGGGTTAGGGAGCTATCGAATTCAGTTTGTCTTTAAATTTTTTCTTACTGGTACGTTAGAATGTTATCCCTGGTTTCCTCTTATAATAAGGTTCTCTGAATTCTCAATATTGTCAGGTGGTTTGAATTTGAATTATATATGGAAGAACTCAAGAAGATAGCTTGGAAAAGAGGGAAAAGTGGGTAAATTAAAAACAGCAATTCCATCCCAGAGGTATGCAGTCTGAATCCACAAGGTGCTCTACTTGAGAAGGCGGGGCAGTCTCCCTGTACCAGTCAGATCCGATTAACGGTACACACAAAGACTATAATTTTTTTTTAAAAAAAAACCAGCAATTCCAGAGTATTTGAATCTCTGAAAGAAAAGTTGTATTTTTGTTTTTTTTTTTTATTTTTGAACAAGCTATGGAAATTTTATATTCTAGTTTAGGATTATTCCAGTTTTTTAATATTCATTCAGCTAAAAATGAATGAGCACCAAGGATGTGAGCATATTTTAGGTCCTGGTGGCATCTTCTGGGGTAAGCTACTGAGGTTCCAGCAATTTTGGAATTTACTCTTTAGTGGATTTGCCCATTTAAAGTACCTATAGAGAATACCTGTGGTTTCCAATATTGTGGCTCCAGGCACCTTGGTGGCTTCTTGGGTCTCATAGATAATTACACTGACAATCCAATTCAACTCAACTATTTATCCTGATAACATTTGTATATATTTCTGAATTCAGAGGCAAGAAGTGTGAAACTGTCTCGCATACCTTAGGCATATTGTCAGAGGGGCCAGATCATGAGGATAGAGCAAGATTCACAACTGTGTTCAAAGGGTCTCAGGCTTAGGCAGTTGATGGCACCTTAACCACATGAGTATGTATAAGGATGTTTACTTAGCTTTGGTTATAATAGTGAAACAAAATATTTATATTTAAACATAATACAGCCATAGAGCTCTGGTGGCCTAGTGGCAAGAAGCTGCGCTGCAATCCTAAACACATGCAGTTCAAATTCACCTGCCAGAGGGTCAGTTATGGGTTGATTCTGACTCTAAGAATTAGATCCATAATTATAGATAGAAAAGATCTCCCCAGACATTCTACTTAAGAAACAGTTAAACCTAACCAGTACTGAACAAGCCATACAGCGCCCCCCCCCACCCCCAGAAAAAACGTGTGTACAGTTACATTCATGGAGATCTATGTATAACGGATGACAACCCTGCTTGCTGAAACTGAAGAAGACCTGAAGTGCCTGCTGCAGAGTGTCAAGGACTGCAGCCTACTATATGGATTGAGGCTCAATGTCAAGAAGACAAAGATTCTCACCACTGGACCAATTGGCAGCATCAGGATGGATGGTGAAGAGATTGAGATTGTACACAGCTTTAGTTTGCTTGGCTCCATAGTCAACAGTCTTGGCACCAGCAGCCAGGAAATTAAAAGGCGCATTGCCATGGGAAAGTCTGCTGTTAGGGACCTCTCCAAAGTACTGAAGAGCAATGATGTCTCTCTGGAGACTAAGGTGCGTCTGATACAGGCCATAGTCTTCGCAATCGTTTGTTATGCATCAGAGAGTTGGACAATGACTAAGGAGGATAGAAGGAGAATTGATGCCTTTGAGCTGTGGTGCTGGAGAAGAGTGTTGAGAATACCGTGGACTGCTAGGAAAACAAACAGCTTTGTCCTGGAAAGGGTTAAACCGGGTGGCTCCTTGGAGGCAAGGATTCTGTGGCTCCATCTAACATACTTTGGACATGTGAGGAGGGACAGGTCCTTGGAGAAGAACATCATGCTTGGTAGGGTGGAGGGACAGCGCAGGAGAGGAAGGCCCTCTATGAAGTGGATTGATTCAGTGACTGAGATAATTGGGATGGGAGTGTCAGAGACAGTGGGATTGGCACAGGACAGAGCGGAGTTTAGGGCTGTTGTACATAGAGTCGCTATGAGTCGCAAGCGACTCGACAGCACATAACAATCTATAAAGGACAGACGGAAGGATACATAACTATTACCAGCGGATAACAAGAAGTGAGACGGGCAAGGAAAAAAGCTATTGGTATAAAAACATGCTCATGTGGTATTAAAAATGTATATTATGACGTAATAACCTGAAAACATGGGTAAGTGCTTGATGATAACAGGGTGACCTATGGCTTGGAAGAAGAACCCTGTAGGGCACTTTTGTTGTCATTTGGGAGGGAGGAGAGGAGGAATTTATACAACAATGAATGAAAATCTAGCTTCTGCAAACTTTCCTTAAAATCACAATTTAAAAAAAAAAAATAAGACTTGCCTAAATAACACATAACAAAAGACTAAAACACCGGGGAAAAGGACTGTAGCAGGGAAGGCCTAAAAGAAAAATATTCCGCTCTTCTGATTAAGGCTCGAACTGTAAAAGTTGATTACAGACATCAGGGTGGGGATATGACAGAAAAAACTGGATAAATTATGTATATTGTATTGAAACAGATAAGGGAAAGAACAGATTAGAAGTGATATATGATTATTAAGGTTGCATAGAGAAGTGTACTCGGGGTGGGGGGAAGGGACGTGGGAATTGTATACTAATGAAGGAATTTTTTTTCTTTTTTTTTTTTTTCCTCTCTTCGGAGGGGGAAGCGAGCTAGTGGGGAGGGGTGGGAAGGGAGAAAATTGGGGCAGTGAATGAATGGAAATCCAAAACTTCTGTAAAAAAATAAAAAATATTTTTAAAAAAGTTGATTACAGTGTGGCTCCTGCTAATCATAGAGAATGTCCTAAGAATGGAAGATTAGGTGATCAATACATGGTAAGAAAGACTGATAGAACACAGTAGCTAAAGAGCTCAGGGAAAGTGGGTTTTTGTGTCTAGAGACTGATTGGATAATTTAATCAATGGCGTCACTGTGAACTACTCACAACCAATCAGCTCCACC